TCATGACCTGAGCCGAAGGCAGACGCTTAACTGACTGAACCACCCAGGCGCCCCCATGAATTTACTTAAAAAAAAAAAAAATGCTGAGTAAGAATCAAAAACTGACAAGTGATTTGGCAGTAACAGATGCACACCGGTTTCTGTCCTATTGCAGGATTTGTTAATGTTACCACAGGTGAAGTTGGGAGAATGTACATATATCAGGAAACAGAGCTGCGTCTGAGGGCAGACGTGGCTTTTATCATTGTTGCTCTTTGTCCCCAAGGATTATCAGGCCCTAAGAGACTTGAAGTAACCAAAGACACATGCCTGAGGTAGACACCAGAAGGCTAATGTCTTCATTTATGGTGAAAATAGCGATGACACACGAATCAGCAATATATGGCATTGGCATCATCAGTGCAGTCCCACCCTGTGGTCACGAAAGCAGACATGGAAAATAGGTGAAGGGGATCAAGAGTACACTTATCCTGATGAGCAATGTATGGAATTGTCAAATCAGTATATTGCCCACCTGAAACTAACATAATACTGTGCATTAATTATACTGGAATGTATTTATTTTTTTTAAGATTTTATTTATTTATTTGAGAGAGAGGAGAGAGCGCGCGTGAGCGAGCACAAGCAGGGGGAGCAGGAGAGGGAGAAGCAGGCTTCCCGCCAAGCAAGGAGCCCGATGTGGGGCTCGATCCCAGCACTCTGGGATCACGACCTGAGCAGAAGGCAGATGCTTAGCGCTTAGCCGACTGAGCCACCCAGGCGCCCCTATATTGGAATTTAAATACATTTTAAAAAAGGACTGTCAAAGAAGTATCCAGTGCTATTAGATGGAGGGTGCAAACATCTCTCCAAATAATGCCTTCATCTGTGATGCTGGAAATATTGGAAGTCTGGTTAGAACAGTACTGAAATGGATCCCAGCAAAGCCCTGAGACTCTTTGCCCCTATTCTCTTTTTACTAGCTGTTTGCTGGCCCTGCTGCTATTCTCTCTGCAGGTGCCTGTTCTGGATAAGTTGTGATATGTATCCACCTTGGTATAAAGTAGACATTTATAAATGCTACATATTTCATATAGGTAACCGATGTTTGAGGAATACATGGGAATATGAAGTGTCCCAAAGCCAACTGAAATAGAAGAGTCCAAATTCAATAAACTTTAAAAAAAAAAAAAACAAAAAAAACCCTGAGTCTTGTGGATGAAAGGGGAACACATCATAATTGCTATGTGACTGGAGAAGTCTCTAAAAAGGACAGTGAGTCTACAGATTTTGCTCAATTATCCCAAACAGTGCTACCCTATAGCACTTTGAGAGTCAATCACTACAAAGTGCAGTTAAGAATCATGGAGCCACAGAACATGTCACTTTACAGAGGCTAAACTGGCCGGAAAGGGAGAAAAATGAGGTCGGGCCCAAGAGCTGTAGAGGAGAGAGTTAAGTAGTCACGGTTAGTGCTGAGATTCTGACTCAACTCAAGAAGCCACATCCAAGTTCAGGGTTTTTCTACTTGTGACATCCTCAGGCCTTTTCTTCCAGTGCCCTTCCACCCCGTCCGGGCGGGGTCTCCCGGGGAAGCAACTACTGTACGAAAGAAATGCGTTGCACCCAGGGCCTTAGCCCTACATACTCCCCACAAACGGCCTATTCCGAGCCCACCTGGATCTCAGGGCGCCTTTTGCTCTAAAATCCTAATTAAGACCTGTCCTCCTGAAGCCCTGGCTGAAATCCGAAAGGAAACAGGTGCAGTCGGGTCTCCAGGTTTCACTGGCTCCCTACCCCAGGAGACAGCCTGACTACTCCACCCACCCCCCGACTTCCCCCAAGGCCTGGCTCCTCACCGCTCCCTCCCCAAGCCCCGAGGCGCCCGGGTCCCCGGGACCACGTTCTGCAGTCTCGCGCCGGGCGCCCCTGCTTCAGGCGGGCGCCCCTGCTTCAGGCAGACGCCCGGCGCCCACCGCTCCACGTCCCCCGGCGGGGCTCGGG